AAATGCCATCGATATTGAGATGTAGCCAAATAACTTAATAAAAGTTAGATATAAACTATCATCGGTATTTAGGCCAACATTTGATGAGTTGTATCAAGGTGTAAGTGCAGAAAGATATTTACTCAGTAAAACGATGTGAGTTATACATAGTGAAGTCGTGGTACCAAAGTTAATGAGAGGAACACGATATAGTAACACACTTGTCAGTCAGTCAGATACAAGGTAGGACCAGGTACATATATGCATCAGTCCAAGTTGCCATACCTCATTAGCACAGCAAGATGAACACCGGATTCATAAAAGTAGTTAATTTAGAGGTGGTAATATATAAAAGAAAGATTGCAATCAAGGATATAGTACGGGAAGAAAAAATTAATTCATAGAAAGATATGAAGCAATTTTAATCTCTTAGTTTAAGGGAAGATAGAGAGTGTATACACCAACGCCATTGTGATTGATTCAGAGCCGTGTCACCAAGAGTCTCCAACCATTGGTTACGATAGTCACGCGGACCCCAACCAAGTAGTCTGCATCTACCAACATGGCTCAGACTAGAAGTTAGTGACTTCAAGCACTGATGCCACGTTTTGGTTTGGCCGCCCCTAACTTTCTTCCAACCATCCCCTACACCGGTTAGCATTGCACGTCGTGGTAATCTTTGTTCGGGCATACGTAACACGTGACCCAACCACCTCAGTCGATGAAGATTCATAACCTCATCAACTGATTTACCATCATTCCTTAATACCCTGTGTCTAACCTCACTATTACTTATCCGGTGATCCCAGCAGATGCGAGCAATATTTCTAAGGCATCTGTGGTCAAATACTAGTAGCTTACGAGTGTCTTCTACTCTTAATGACCATGTTTCGCTGTCGTAAAGTAGAACAGAACGGACTGCCGCGCAGTATACTCGTCCTTTTATTGATAGACGGATATCTCGCCTTCGTCATAGGTGACGTAAGTTGGCAAAAGCCAAGCGAGCTTTTCGAATCCGTGCTGAGATTTCGTCAGACACCAACCCATTAGGGCTGATCAGACTTCCAAGATAAGTGAAGTTGTCAACGCGTCCGACTACTTCACTCCCTATTCTTAGTTCAGGTGTTGACGTAGACTAGTCCTGAAGCAACAACTTGCATTTAGAGGGAGAGAAGCGCATTCCAAACATTCTGGCATTGTTGCTTAGTGCTACCAGAAGACTCTGAATTTTATCAGCGTCTTCACCAAACAGGACTATGTCATCTGAGTATTCTAAATCGATAAGTGGACTTCCTGGAAGGAGATCAATACCCGAGAATTCAGTCGACGAGAATGTTATACCCATCAGTAGGTCTATGATGAAGTTAAACAAAAATGGAGAAAGTGGACAGCCTTGACGGACACCAATTGAGGCTGCAAAAGCAGATGACATTTGGCCATAAGCTTTGGCTCGACTAGTAGTATTCGAGTAAAGAGCCTTTACAAGGTTTATGCACTTCTGAGGTACGCCTTTCAATAACAGACACTGCCACAGAATCTCGCGGTCTACTGAGTCAAATGCTGCTTTTAAGTCAAGAAAGACCACAATTGTCGGACGCCGATAAGTATACCTGTGTTTCAGAACCTGACGAATGGTGAATATGTGGTCGATGCAGCCACGACCATGTCTGAAGTCAGCCTGATTTTCTCGTAACACACTTGAAGGGATTAAGATAATGGAGAGAAGGCAAGAGCAGAACAACAAGTGGATAAAGCGCAAAACTTGGCAGGGGTTTATCTAGGAAACAGAAGATAAGCGAAATGACCAGGTGAATAATTATTTAAACAGAATAAGGAATCAAGAACAAGATGTTGATATGGTGGAAATTTACAGAAAGATGAGAAACAAATACATTCCAACGAATGAAACCGATTTTGCCTGATTTTACCCATTGATTTAGGCTTTTTATGTTGATAGCTCGGAATAAATTCTTACAAGTACTTCCGATTAAAGAGACTATAAAAGTGATAACTTTTCCGTAAGTCCTATTAACTACGTCAGTCATGCATATGACTCGGGGTGCATATGCAACGGCTTAAATTCCAAAACCTCATGTCAGCACAGCGAGGGAATTAAAAAGAAATAAGTGCTAAACATAACAAAACACAACTCAAAAGGAATAAATAAAGCAAAAAAATGAAGAACTAGGTATGACAACTAATTTAATATTTAGAAGATGGAGAACAAATCCAACCAAACCACTTTAAGTCATGTCAGCCGACGTCTACAACCACTTACTATGACTATTAGGTAAGACGAAACCATGAAATTTCCAACTGTCAAGACAGCACAGATCACCAGTAAATAGATTCAGGGACTGATGCTAGGTCTTTATCGACCTTCTCCAGGCTTTCCTGCATACAGAACTGCGTGATAAGTATCAGCTAAGCATTTCTAGTACATAGCTTATTCATATCAACTGATGTAGATTGATGACCTGAATAACCGGTGTACCCTATACTCGACGTCTAACTCCAATATCACTCATCCTGTGATCCAACCTTATAAGGGTAGTGATTTCCAGTACATTACAAACATTCATACGCTTTTACTTAAGAGACCCGAGAAATTACATTTCGCCTTTGCTTACCAGAACTGCGTCACCTTACGCATCATACTCCCGTTAAGAAGACGACCCAGATCTCTTACAGAGTACAGAGGACCACAATTCCAGAGGTCTTTGGCCTAACTTACGATGAGCGACTTCATAGGTCAGACCATATCAAATTGAGAGGCCATTTCATTATGATGCACAAGGTACTATGAAATGATTTTGAGGAATTAAATGTGATAACCGCATCAACTAGTTCCTGTTCGAAAGAATTCTCCGACGATTTAGTTCGCAGATTTTCCTAGTCTACCATAGGTGCATTGAAGTCCCCTAGGATTAGACATCGAAAAACTCACCACCATGGTTCAGTAGGGAGGCCCACATCCTTCTCCGTAAGAAAAGAAAAATGTGGGATAGATTTAGGTTACTGAGGACTGATGAGATAAAATCTCAGTATCGAAAAGCTCGGAATACCTGTGCCTCGACCCTCCGTAAGTCTAGGAAGTTATACGAAGAAAATATTGTCAAGGAATCCATAGAATGTCCTAAACGCTTGTATTCCTATATAAGCCAAAAGACAAAAAGAAGACGAAATATTCCTGAACTATGGGGAAACAGTACTGCCGCATCATTAGTGGAGGACGACTTTGGAAAGGCTCAAGTGTTCTCGAACTACTTTAGCAATGTATATACCATAGAAGCACCCTTCCCATCAGCGCATACAAATCCCCCCACGCATACACTGGATAGAGTGACCATTAAAGAACTCGATGTCTTTGGTCTGCTAAATAAGCTTGACATAGGTAAATCCACGGGGCCCGATGAATTAGATCCTAGGCTACTGAAGGAATTATCTAATTTCGTTGCAAGCCCTTCAAGTACATGCTTTAACCTATCCGTAACGCAGGCTCGTTTACCAAAAGACTGAAAGAACGCCATAGTAAATCCTGTCTTCAAAACAGGTACGAAACATAAACCTGAGAATTACCGACCCGTTAGCCTAACTAGTGTGGTTGCTAAAATCTTAGAAAAGATTATTCAGAAGGAGCTGTTTAAGTACCTCGATAAAAACCGGATCCTTTCGGAGAGGCAGCACGGTTTCAGAATAGGTTATTCTTGTCTCACTAACTTATAAGTTGCTCGTGAAAGCTGGTGCGCTCTTAAGGACCAAAAGCTACCTGTAGACGTAGCCTTCATTGATTTCAGCAAAGCTTTTGACAAAGTTCCGCACAACCGGCTGTTATATAAGTTAAGAAACGTCGGAATTGGAGGCAATTTATTGATGTGGATGAAAGACTTCCTAGTTGGGTGCCAATACAGAGTAAGGGTGAACTCAAAGTTATCTAGCTGGGAAACTGTGCTTAGTGGAGTGCCCCAGGGTACAGTTTTGGGGCCAGTGCTATTTCGCTTGTATGTAAATGACCTTGCTTGTCTCTTATCATCATCGGTCTTGCTATATGCTGACGATGTCAAGATATGGAGAACGATACGATGTAAGGGTGATAGCTAAGAACTCCTAAATGACCTGGAGAAATTATCTGAATGGCCTCAAACCTGGCAGTTGCCGAGAAATACTTCCAAGTGTGTTGTGATACATATCGGTCATCAAGGTACAAATACATACACGATGAATAACACTGAGGTACCTGTTGTCCAGACACGTAATGACTTAGGAGTCATCGTTAGCCAAGACTTAAAGACTACTGTACACTGCCGTGCAATAGCCGCCAAAGGTTTTAGAACCTTATGGTCAATACGTAGGTCATTTAGTCATGTCGACGCTAAAATGTTTTTGACTTTGTATACAGTGTTTGTACGTCCTAAACTTGAGTACTGCATACAAGCGGCTAGCCTCCGCTTAAAAAAGAGTGAGCTTCTGGAAAAGGTTCAGAGAACGGCGACTAAGCTGATTCCCGGAATAGTGAAGCTTCCGTATGATGCTCGACTGGCCAAGCTAAACCTTTTCTCACTGTCTTATCGTAGAACTAGAGGCGACTTGATTAGTTTTCAAATTGCTTAGTGATAAATTTGCACCTGATATGCCCTCATTTTTCTTGTCTTCTAAAACAGAGAATTTACGAGGACACTCCAAAAAAGTTCATAAGCCGAGAACAAATTACTTGTCAGCTGACTATCGACTTTCCCGTCGAATCATCAACTAGTGGAATTCATTGCCTCAGCACGTGGTTGAGGCTCCATCCGTCGACTTTTTCAAAAGAAAGTTGGGTCAACTGAGAGACCACTATTGCCAGGACTGACACATACCATGAAGCCTACTGTCCTTTCCAAACTGAAACTGACTATAAGTAGCGTAAACTTTCGAATGAGTCCCAGAGTTCACTGTTGGTCCTTGAGTGTGAAATCAATATTCACCGGACTTGGATTTGATTGGTTGTCCCAAAAATATTTCAAGGACAGTGGGCTTCAAAAATGCTAGTCGAAGGTCAGTATTTCTCCTTGATATTTGCAGTAAGTATGTTCGTGACATCGTGGTTCGTAGCTTAAGACGTTCACTGAGCTGGTATTACTTGTTTGCGTAAGGCGGACAGATGTAACTTATGTATATCCAACCAATAAAGCTCAGATACAAATGTTAGCAATATTGTCAACGAATATTCGTTGATATAAAGTAAGAATATTTTAGATCATATCTCTCAGGACTCCACTCGTCTTAAGTCTCTATCCATATAGCATCAGATTCACTCTTGCTTCATGCAATTCAGCCTTTTAAAGGCAGTGATTTCGAACGTGTGAATTATCTTTGCTTTTGTGCATTTATTGCATCAAAGTATACTTGGTCAACTTTGACTTGATTTATCCTGGTTAAGGCCTGGAACTTTTCCTAAAATCCATTTTGTGTTACCTTTTTTAGTTGATTATCACACTAGTGATTATCTTGTGTATTTCTCCCCTTTACATCATTTTAAAATGGTCGGCTCTGCTCTCAAATGTGAACAGCCAAATCGCTTATTCATTGTAGAAGATGGAATTCAATATAATGAGTGCAAAACATAGCTCTATGAAATGAGTACTCGTTTAAATCCTATCGCATATAAAAGGTGCTCAAAGCCTACCTTCGATTGGGTTTGCATGCTTTATAGTTCGAGTAAAGCATAACTCGTCCAATAGACAATTAGCCTTCTGGTGTTGGCCAACAAAATGTTGATGAGGGCTAAATTGGTAACATGGGTAATGACAGAGAAGAATGTGTCAGTGTAGTAAGTGCTGTTACGGAACGAGCCCAACAACCAACCGCGCAACATGCATGAGATAAATCTCTTTAGTAAAATACCACTGAATATTGGTAGTCACGATTCTAAGAATTTGGTCTCATCGAATATTATCGTAATTTGCTCGAATCAAATGACTCTGATCGTTAAAAAGCCAAAGTAAAGCTTCTAGTTGTTAACAGGTAGAAAATGACAACACGATCAAAAGCCGTGAACGACACTTCTAAATAAGTCAAATCCATTCTTAATTTAGAAAAGAAATGACTCTGCCATAAAACATACACACAATTTGGATTTAGCTGGATCCGCCATCAGAAATGTACTACTAGAAGAGATTTCAGTGGTAAATATCACTAAAGGGACGAGATTCTGTAAAAAGTTTGGAGGTGAGACCCCATCAAGTGGGAGTGTGATGCTAGTACTTGAAATTTACGAAGAAAGGACGTTATACTAAATGGCTCATGCAAAACTCGTGATCTGAATATCCATATCTGACCAGATCAGTCACCTGAGAATTGGATCAAGTTGAAGAATGCCCTTACTGAGTTAGAAACTCAAAAGCGAAACGGCAAAGCAAACCTTAGGGTTTAGAGATTTTGGGTAGTCAGGTATTAGAAGCCAATTCTTCCGAGACCTGTATGGGTAGAATTAGTGATTCTTAAAACACCTTAAATGTGTGCCACACGAACGCTCGTAGTCTTAGAAATGAAACGTACGAGCTAAGTTTGATGGTGGACAAGTTAAGTCGCGATATAATTGTTGTCACAGAAACGTAGCTTATTGTAAATACAAACTGTCCTCCAATCATTGCAGGGTATATCTGTATTAAAAGTGATATAGTAATAAACCGCAGGAGACACGAGTGACAATAGGAGGAATATACCGTAGTCCATCTTGTTTTGCTAACGGCTTTATCTTATGTTATATCCATTCTTGGAGTGAAGCTGAATGTTGTCTCACCGTTGGAGATCTCAACTCACTGCATATCAGCTGGATAGAGCTTACAACTCCAGGTGAATGTTTCGTTAGCAACCTTCTACCAATCATTATTCAGTGTGCACTTGTACAATGTATCTTTAAACCGACACATTGATTTGGGACACGAACCGTCATTGCTGGACCTTGTCTTTACACACCACTGTGATGTCATTGATATTCAACGCCTCTCACTATCAAATAGTGATCACGTTGCACCGTAATTTAGGTTTCGAACACAGTATGCAATGCGTATCTGCTTCAGTCTTTCCCAATATCTGGTGAGCTAACATTCTAGCAGTCAGAGACTGTACTATCTCAACACACTGGTTGATCAATGCAGATGTATCAATGGAAGACGAATGGAATAAGTTTAAAGCTACATTCTAATTTGTAACATCACCGTATATCCTATGGTAAATAGGTAGGCTATCACATTGCCCTCCATGGATGGACAATGAAAGCCGAAAGCTGCTGAGGCGTCGGAAACACTTCTAAAACTTATTCTTGTCAACAGGCCACAAATCATTAAAGTGTGGATACCGAAATATATGTAAAAAGGCATAGCTAGATGCCGTACCATTTATGAGGGATAGTTGACAAATGATAGCTATACCTGTCCATAACGCTTGTTTTCGTGCATTAAACGAAGAACAAAACGTAGTGACGGTATTCCTCCATTACCGTTGCACGAAAATTCAGATATACTAGCTGGGTCAAATCTGAGACTCAGACTATTTCAGCAAAGTCTATCGTACGAGTATTGTTAACAATACCCCTTGCGGACAATATATCTGGGGCAATCAAGATGCTCTTCGACATCTTCCTTTCCCACACTCAACTCCTTAGGGATTGGAAAGATGCTATTGTTGGTCCTGTATTTAAAGATGGTCAGAGATAGACAGTGTCTATGGCTGCCTAACTGTTTTTCTAGTTGTAAATATACAACTAGGAAAACAGTTAGGCAGCCATGTAAGTGATGCCCACCCCGAGGCAGCATGGAATGATATCTGAAAAGCTGTCAAAACAGCAGTGATATCTGCTAGTAAGGTAAACCACAAGGTTAGGGAGAAACACTGGATCTCAGCAGCATCTATCGCACTGATAGATGCTCGGAAACTCATTCCACCCGGCTCTGAACATAATGAAGAACAGAGTCAGCTTAAGCGCAAGCTGACGAGAAGTCTACCCAATGATCGTGAACAGTGGTGGGTAGCGAAAGCAAGAAAGATGGAAAAGGCAGCGGCAATAGGTAATAGCAGACAATTGTTTAGACTCGTTAAGGAAACCGACTGTTAGCGAAACAATCTCAGAGAAAGATGGACATATTATTCATTCTCAATCCAGGAGATTGGATCGATGGGCAGAACACTTTAGGGATCAGTTCAACTGGCCTTCAGCCACACTTCGGTTTCCCACGATCTCCAGTCAACCTGAATGGCAAGTTAATGTAGGTCCTCCGTCTCTTTACGAAGTTGAAAAAGCCATAGGAAATCTGAAGCGAGGGAGAGCAGCAGGCCCTGACAGGTTTAGTCCTGAGATTTTTAAGGATGGTGGTTCAGTATTAGCAGTGAGATTAACTGAGGTCTTAGGTAGAATTTGGGAACTGGACGTAATCCCATCTGACTGATCTCAATCACTGATTGTGCCAGTCTATAAGAAAGGACAAAAGTCCTCTTGTGACAATCACAGAGGAATCAGTTTGACAAATATAGTGTCTAAAATATTAGCTTCAATAATACTTCGACGCCTAACCAAAGCTCGTGAAGAGCAGGCTAGAGAAAATCAGGCTGGTTTTCGACCTGGACGTGGTTGCAAAGACCAGATATTCACACTACGTCAGGTTCTAGGACATAGACATACGTTCAGGCGCCACACAATCGTAGTATTTCTCCACCCTAAGGCAGCATTTGACTCTATTGGTCGTGATGTTTTGTGGCAGTGTTTGTCACTGAAAGGAGTACCAAAGAAGTACATTAACCTTATAAAGGCTCTCTACTCGAACACAACTGGTCGAGTGAGAGCTTATGGCGAACTGTCATCAGAATTGATTACCTCAAGTGGTGTTCGTCAAGGCTGTCCACTCTCTTCATTCTTGTTCAACTTGGTCGTTGATGTGCTTTTAGAGATAACACTTTCCCCATCTAAATTTCCAGGGGTTGGACTTCTACCGGGAGATTCACTTTTTGACCTAGAATATACCGATGACATAGTTCTGTTTGGTGAGGACAATGAAAAAATACAGAGTCTTCTGATCAGCACATAAGCAACAATGCAAGCATGTTCGGGATGCGATTTCCCCTCCCCTCGAAAAGCAAAATGTTGCTTCAGGATTGGTTTGCATTGACACCCGAACTAATGATAGGGAGTGAAGTAGTTGAGCGTGTCGACTGCTTCACTTATCTTGGAAGTCTGATCAGCCCTTGTGGTCTGGTGTGTGACGAAATCTCAGCACGGATACAGAAGGCTCGACTAGCTTTTACCAACTTGCGTCATTTATGGCGTAGGCGAGATATCCGTCTATCAACCAAAGGACGGGTTTACTGCGCAGCAGTTCGTTCCGTCCTACTTTATGGCAGTGAAACATGGCCGGTAAGAGTAGAGGATATCCGTAGGTTACTAGTATTTGATCATAGGTGTCTTCGAAACATTGCTCGTATATCCTGGGACCATCGAGTAAGTAATGCAGTTGTTAGGAAATGGGTACTATTTAAGAATGGCAAATCAATCGATGTAGTGGAACTTCATCAGTTGAGATGGCTGGGACATGTGTTACGTATGCCCAACCACCGACTGCCTCGATGTGCGATGTTCAGTGGTATAGGAGTAGGTTGGAAGAAAGCTAGGGGCGGCCAGACCAAGCGTTCTTCGTAAGGGAGTTTGGGAAGACCCTTCACTACGTTTTTTTCCTACACGCTGAACACGTTCAAATAAGTTAGTATCCTTAATAAGACATGGACCGGCATCTTTGATACAGTACCCTTGTTGTGGTCTTATACAGGCGGTATATAAAATCCCCCAAATGCCCTGGTACGGCAGAGAGTGGGGAGAGTCCGCTCTTCCCCTCGAAATACTCTCACACGGCCACGCGTATACAGCCTCTGCCAGGGAAGTCCTACTCATTGCCTTCTCATGGCGGGGGTGTTGTTTACGAAAACGAGAGGACGAAAAGCGAATGTCCGGCGCTTTAACCGGACCCAAAACCAATGGTGCACATAGGCTCTAGTATCCTGCGGGAACAAATGGCGTATGAACTAATCGTTG